GCGATTGAGTAGGGTCACTAGCCCATGCATTTCTGGCTTAGAACCAACTAGTGAACTAGTATACCTGTAAGTTAGGTAAGATTAGGTCCTAAATTAGTCTACATTTTAAATATGAATATCAAAGAGGGAGAAACATAGTTTATACCTGTTAAATCACAGACGACTTCATAGAATTGGTTGCCTCTGACAGACGCATTCACTGAAGAGTAATGAAGTTAGATTAGGTTTTGGGGAAAGAATATAAGTCGTCGGGTTATAGTTTAGGCCAAAAGAGTTGACAAGTATGTGTTAAGCACGGCATAGCATTATCCACCCCGTGTTTAAATGATTCCCATTACTAGGTTAGAATTAAGGCCATGAAACCATTTGGTGAAATTACTAAATGTTGATTTGGCTGCCTTGAAGAAAGCCAGAAGACACTCAAAATCATCGTAAGAAGAATGATGCAACTTCTCATAATGTGATATTTATTTATTTACAAAACGAATAGCTGTATTTTTGGGTTTATTTTTACTCGTGTCACATTCCTGTTCTTTTCTTCACATTCAGATTTCTCCACGTTTTCTTCTTTTTCCAGAAATGTTTTGATATTAGAATGAATTAACTTGAAACTTTGAAACCAACTGGGTCATCGTCGTTTTTTCAAAAATTATTGTATTTTAAACCAACTTTTTAAAGCAGTCATTTATCGGTCATAGTCTCATTTAAAAAAAACTTATATCATAATCTTTTGTAAACGATTAGTTTAATTAGGTTACAAAAGCAAAGTATGACTTTATGCATGAATATTGCCTGATATTATTCAAATGATGACGGTATGCCTTGAACTCCAGTACGTTTGATATCTCACAGATCATAGTCAGCTTGATTGCAATAATTCATATCTGATTAGTAATGAATCAACTTAGAAAACGTGTTTGAAATGAAACCAAACCAATTATTGTTCTAATAACGGATTACTATTGAACAGTTAGCACAAGTGTGAAGTCATCCAGTTCTTCTATGCGAGTCAGAAACTTGCACTGCGTGTCACGAAAAGGATTGCCGAGAATTCACAGACTTCTATCAACAACTGCCTTTATTCGCAACAGACTAGAGATCAAATGGTCGACTGACCAGAAAGAATCATCTACAAGAAACTCTGGCTTGTAGCAAACCAACCAAGAGCCGATCGCTCAACAAATATGTAGGAGAAAATGGAGATGGATCGGGAATACGTTGAGTAGGCCATCGAATAACATCACGAGCAGTGGAGACCATCACTGGAATGGAAACTGAATGGAAAGTGACGAGTGGGTCGTCAGTGCGAAGGTGACATGGAGGAGATGGTGTGGCGAGGAGGAGATGAAGGGTTATTGGAGATCATGGTCCCAACTGAAGCGGACTGCAGAGAATAGAAGAAATTGGAGATGTGTTTGTTGTTGAAATCCTAGTTTCCACTCGGAATCCAATGGAATAATAACAATCGCATAGTTAATATTCATTGATACACACTACATTTCAAAATCATATTGACTTTTATTTTAATGTTCAAATTAAGCCAATTGCAATTACACGTAGAGGTTGAAACAAGGTTGAAGAAAGTGTTCAGTGGTTCAGTTCTTGAAGTATTCAGCAGTTCATTAGGATATTCGTTCTCATAAAGCGCAGTATTTGTTTGTTAAACTTCTCAAATAATAATATCTTTTAAAGAACTGTATACTTAACATAAAAGGCTTTAAAAATAATTCTTTATTGTACTAGTCATTTTGTATGGTTTATTTTGTAGGTGGATTCACTTATATTCACGTTGGTTATTTATTTTAAAATATTAATTAATGAATGAATACATTTCATAAATGTACGTCTGTCCTTTTCCTTAATAAAAAGTAGTAACAACTTCGTTAGCGGTTGTTTATAGGCATTATTTGGTGACTGGATTCTTCAAACGAAACAACTGTTAAGAACTTTTTCTTTCAGTTTCTTATGATTTTCTGAATAATTTTAGTATGTGACGTATCCTGATTCGAGATTAAAAGATTTTTGGTTGCTTTTTTAGTTAATCAAGAGAAGTTTCAGACAGTTTTTTTCCATGAGACTTTTTGGGTGAACTTACTTGCTGCGTCTTTCATTTCGATTGTCTTGTCAATGAGGTTAGGCAACGGGGCTTATAGTTTCTAAGCTTTGAAGACGTGAATTTTCTAATTAGATTGAATCTATTACCACAGATTTTTTGTGGGCAAATTGTTGAATAAATATTAAATTAATAGCTCGGCAGTTTCAAAATGTGCACTTTAGTTATCAGATTATTGATTACTTGAAAAATCTAATTTGAACTTATAAATCTGGGCTTGGTGATACTGTCACTCTTTTTCTAGTTACAAAGATCAGGTGTAGTTATGGTACTAAACTACATATCACTTCTCCAGTAAGATTGCTTCCATTCAAGAACTTTCGTCTCCATTGAAATATGATATTTTCTAGGTTTAGCCGTTAAAAACTTTCAATAGTTGATCTTAGCAGGAGGCTTATCAATATGCAGATAACTGACGAAAGACGAAGTCACTATAGATGAAAAAGTTTTCTTATGTAATTTTAAAAGTCATTCTTTTTTCGTGACAGACACGTTGGAGTGAAATTTATAAAAACGTATTTTTAAATACTTACCTTTCTTTCCAAAAATTTTACAGGTGCGTCATTATTCTTCACTATCCACTCGATTCGCTAAAATGCGTTAGTTTTTCAGATTCACTTAAGCTAAAATCTAAAGATTCACATTATTAAGCACTTCTTCACTTCAAGAGGAATAGGTTTGCTGGAGTTATTACTTACAGTAAGCTGCTCTGTGAGGTCTTCGACTTGTGAATTTCAATTAATAGGCTGAACAGTTGATAGAATTTGAGATTTATATTACATAGCACTAAGAAATAGAAATCTCTGAAAGTTGGTCACACTGTCTATATACTCTACAAGTGATAAAACTTAAGGAACAAAATTTATAAAACATTTCAACAGAGGATTATTTACAGTTCAAAATTTGGCATGAACCAAAGTTAGTCAGAGAATCATTGAACACAAATGAGTATAGGACAGTTGTGTCTTTCTAGATCAAGACCTTCCATCTTCGCAAATCCAACAGGGATGGACAGTAGAATTTAGAGGTTGGAATCCAGTGATACTGGTTAATCCTCAGTGGTTGGCATAAGTAGCTGTTACAGTTCTACATAAGGTCACTCGTGATGTATCCAACTAAAAAACTGGATTACAGGTTTTCATATCTCTGACGGAACATCAGTTTCTCCTTGGCTGCGGATACACCATAGTAAAAAGTGTAAATAAATAAACTAGGAACATAACATTGGCTATCCCCTTGTGAAAAATCAAAATAAAATCTTGTTCGTAAACGAAACGTGCACTGTCACATATCCATCTTGTGTGTTATGGATTCTTTTTTGAGATAAAAATTTGTTGATAATATTTGGATCAATACTGTCGAAAAAACAACTATTCAATATTTAACTGTAAAATTATCAACTGTATTTTATGTTTGCTGTTGATGATTTGTAATCACGCTATTTTTATATGAATGAAAAATGTTAAGTAAAAGAAATGGTAGATAGATGTTTATGAGGCTTATTCACAGAGAACTCGATAGAAATGTTACTTGCTGAGATGTATATTAGTTGTCGGGATATGTATTTGAGTTTAGCTGTAGGATTATGATCAAATCAATTGAGTGGGGTGAGAAATGGTCAACTTTATTCACTTTTTATATTAAGTCATCTGTCAGTATATTCCCTGTATCGTTTAAGTGGTCAGTGGAGTATTTGAATAACTTCTGAGTGTTTATTGTCTATATCTGTTTATGATCTTGTTAAGTTTCTGTCGAGTTTTCTGTTCAGCCTCATTTACTATTATTTCACCTTCATTTTTCAAGTAAAAAAGTGTCAATCCACTCATTATCAATCTTGAACAAATGTGGAATTTGTTTGGAAAAAACAACAGATGCTGTGACGGTGAAGAGGAAACCTCACTTATTGTTCTAAAACACCAGTTATTGCTGAGTTTTAATGAACCCATATTGTATTCAGAATTTCCAAGTCTTGAGATTGTAAAGACTTGATCGATTTCCACACAGATTCCATCACAAATTGATATAATATATAATATCTATTAAAAATCAAAAGATCATAAGATAACTGTTCCATCGTAAAATGGCCGCAATGACTCTATCAGAATATACCAAAGCGAAGAATGTCAGGCTAGGATGAAATACTGGTTCGGCGCTAGAGGTTCTTTCTAGAGGTTATCTACGTAATGTCAGATAGTGCAAGAATCTACCTTGATTTGCAAATCTAAAATAATATTATTAAAATTGTTTTCATTACACCGCTGTATTTTGAGATTTTAAAATAACAAATAATGTTCCAATTTTGTGTGAAATATTCTTCAAAAACGCAGAAACATTTTTCCTATGACTGATATATCTGATGTCAAGTGGAAGAATTGTTATAAGTTGTCATGAAATTTTACAACTGACTAAATAACTTTAGAGAACAATTTACATCAAGTACTAAATCATTTAGTGTGCGTGTTCACCTAACTAGTTAGTCTAATTATGCTGCAAAAATACTGTCCACCGTTAATGTTTGCTAGAACTCTACTGACTTTGTACTTTATTTTAATATAGTCGAAACAGCTTGGGCTTCACCATGAACCCAGATTAGTTAAAGGTTCATTGAAAAACCAAGGAGTGATGGAGAGATGTTTCTTTCTAGTCTGTGACTCTTCATCAGGGAGCACCCATGATCCCATCAAGGATAAGCCTTTAGCTTGCAAATCTGGAAAGTTGCAGTCATCCTACAAACTATTTCTCTCTTTTTCTTACTAGGCTTTTGATTTCATAGAAGTAGACGTGGATGCAACTGCATCCATCTTAGCTTCGTGGTTTAATGAAGAAGCTCTCAGTCTCCTTCTGGACAACGTCTTGTGCAGTCACAAATGAAGCCGCATCAAAACAATCATTCTAAAAATACCTCAAATTTTGCATCAGAACTATGTGTAGGGTATGCAAACAATTGACGTAAATTTAAAGTTGATAAACTACTATGTAATGCAATCTTTATTTGAGTATTTTCTAAAATAAGATGGCATTTTGATTCTTTTCGTGATGGACTGAATAAATCTTTGAGGGGTGTAAATAATACCAACGAGTAGGTTGTAATTTCTTCCAAAAAGAAGAAAACAACGTTTATTAGGTTGCAAGGAAGTATTCCAAATCATATTTTATAGCGTTCGCGTTTCAGATTAGTATCGCACACAGATATGTTATTTACAGGTGCAACTTTCGATGCCACATCGTCGAAATAAGAAAAGGTCTATCACTGACTTAGTAAAAGCTTTCTTCAAAAGTAGGATGAGGAGAATTTTCCACAATTCCTTTGACATCTTATCAGAATAGTATGTTTTAACTCTTATAATTTGTAGTTTAAGCTTCCGCCTAATTTTTTATGGAAACTAGTTGTTTCTGAGGAGTCATTGTTTTTCTGGCTTTTAGTTGCTAGAAGTATTTGTTCGATGTGTATGTCTGAACATATATGAGGAATTATCATGCATCTGGATTCTTCATTTTCTGATATATATTCAACGTCTTGTATCCCTTGCATATAATTAATTCTAAGGACCATCATAAGATGAGGAAAATCAGTATTACCGCTTACCTGTAGGGTATGGTCCACCTTTTGTTGAAACAGTCTGCACAAATCTGCTACAGTAGGCAACTGTGACATTGGTTTCTTTGAGTAAAAGTAAAGATACTGTCTCTGGAAGTTCATTTATCAATATTGTCGCACGACAAGGGAGTAATCCAAATGAAACTGAGTAACCATTCGCTAAAGAACTTGATTTAATCATTTTTGTATCCTGATTATATGCGTCAAATAAGTCAAAATTGTATGAGATAGAACAAGTGATATTTTCAATATGAGAAAAAGCGTAGTTTGTTAATATAAAGCAGGCTATTAGCAGGAGAAAATCTATGATTTGTTTTACTTAATTTAAACATTATGACAATCATATTACTTATTTTCACGTTTATTTTAAAATTAAATTTTCTCATTAAATAACTAAATTTTTCCCCAAATAACTAATCAGAATTTTGAAATTAATGTAAATTTTGTTACACTTTCACTTGATGCTGAGACTGTCTGAGATATCTTTGTGTAGGCAGACTACTAGTTATATAATGAGTGATAACTGAAGGTGAAACGGAAATCTGCACCGTGGCAAGATTCGAACCAGTGGAAGGAAAATTACCAGTGTATTACTGTATCATCTCAACCGGTTAGTATTTGGTAATAATGGAAATTCGGAGGCAGTTAGTCGAAATCTTGCCGTGACTTAGATCTTTTTTCATCTCTAATCAAAAGCGACTGTACTTTCTTTTAGCGAGAGATTGAATGCCAGTTATATTTGAAATGATTAGATAGGGTAAATAAAAAGTATATTTTGATTGTGATACACCTTTGCATAACTTTTTTGTTATTAAATGGTTGGAGGCAATCATCAGAAAGTCTTGGGACTAAGTTTTGTGCTAGCTGGCACTCGTCAGCAAGGCGTAACCACCTAGCATGGTAGCTACATGGCAGAGATGACTGATAGAATTCAGTCTACACAAAACAAATGACTAGATCTGTGATACTAATTATGGCATAACTTTTTTGTACAAGTTAGTACTCTGTCGCCATCATTCAGTTTATACAATATTCCGACCGAACTGAATTAAGCATGTTAACGTTTCGTTATGATGCTTGAAAATATAATAAAATCTAGTTAATTTAAACAGTAACAGTTCAATGAAATGTTACTTTGATACTGAATGTTCCTTGCACCAAGTTCATACATATAAAGAAATAAGTTAATGTGTCGAAGGCGCTGACTTATCGTTTTTTAAAGCACACTGATAATATTGCTTAAAATTTTTTCACTACTCTTGAATATACTGGCTCTATATGTATATTCCACTCAATAATATGTTGAAGAGTTGCTAACGTAACACTCTGATTAATGCAATTCACACAATCAGTAAGGGATTTTTGAAACTACTTAATATATATATATATATATATATATATATATATATATATATTGATTAGTAAAGGAACAATCAGTGAAGGACCAGATATTCACGCAACAGTTAGAATGATGGCATAATGTCAGTCATCATATATGTATATATACGATGGCAAACTAATATGCTGAATTCAATTATCTTCATATGTTCATCTTCCCATATCCACTAAGGTTATCTGTTTGTTTTAATTCATTTTTAAATTAACTTTAACTTTTCATCCCTGTTTATATGGTTTTACCTTACCAATTATTTCAGAGAAGATGTGAACAAGTAAAATCACTGAATGACACTGAAACCTGCAATGATTCCAGATGGGTAGAAGGACGTTTGGTCTCAAAATAAACTTAACGAAATCTGATGCAATGAATAGATTAAAAATTAAATAAAATGAATAAGTAAAGGAAATTAGATTAGATTAATAAAGTTTTCCAGTTGAGTATAAACATAAGAATATTGTTATTGTTAGGCTAAACATGGATATATAATTTGGCTGAAAACTGTACATATGAATAAAGGAAATAAACAGAATATTCCTACGAAATCGATTCGGTAACTTCAGTAGCAATAACTTTCGTAGATTTTCAAGTCATATCATCAGTTGCATCATTCTGAAAACCAGTGAGCACTAGACATCTGTTTCGCCTCAGTTTGGGTTTATTTGGCAGTACGCACCTATGGTCCTAATAGGAACTGAATCCAAGACCTTTAGGTTACAGTGTTAGCTGTTCAACCATCCAGTCATTGTAAAGGAATCTAATGGCTGATCACTCTTCACTGCTGCCAATTCATAATACACAGAGCCACACTGAACCAATATCATTAACCAGTATTTGGCCTTAAATCTGACTTACAGTCTATCGTTTTTAGAAGTCCGAATTCATCAGCCAGTGTATGAATGGCAGACGGGTGCATGTCATCATCAGAAGGTCTTGAGTCATAAAGGTGTACCGCTGAAGATTACCTAATTAGGACGAAACATCTATCTACTTGTACATAGTTTTCTCTAAAGGATGTCACTTTGCCATCTAACCTAAAACCAATCAAATCCCTGTAAAGCCTCACTTAAAAAATCACTGTATTTTGTCACAAGGAAACTTAATCTCAAAAAATTTCGTACATAATCTGGGAGGAAGATGCACATTTTCAGATTATTAGAATTTGTTTATTATTCACTCCCAGTTTTTTTAAATATAATATTGGTTTGGATAGCTGAATACAGAATGCAGATGACATTAAGAACTGTTCAGAATTGTTTATTAAATATAATATAATGTTCAGGATTAGCTAAATTTATCAATGTCAGGAGAAAAAAAGGAGAAAGGTTGGAAGAATTTAGTTTAAGTAAATTATTTTCAGTGAGGAACAAAATTTAAAGTGCAATATCGTCACACTATCGTTGGCTTTTTTGGTTCAAAACTAGAAAAAGAAGTGAAATATGTATTCAACTAGACAGTCACTTAGATGACAAGAACTGAGATTCAGCAAGTGATAACTAGTGAGGCATTTCAGCGGTAATTTGTTCGTTAGAATATAAATTTATCAGTCTGATATTTATTTGATCGAAGTCTTCACAAAACTTGTAATATTTTCCTAAGTGGATCTCAGTGTCCTGGGTCCAAGAAGTGTTCTGTTTTTAAGCTAAAGAAATAATCTAGCTTTCCCTTAGCTAACCAGGCTTCGTAGAATTTATGAGAATTTAACTAATCTGACAAAACTTCTAATTCCAGTCTAATGTGATGATAAAGCAGTACAACTCAACTCTTTTAAAATGATTTCCTCATCCATTTAAATAAAAACTGCAGCTGTCATAGTTTGTTATCATCTGAACACCTAAATTAATCCAATAAACTGTTTGTGAAGATGTGTTGATCGTGATATGAGAGTCTTTACTATTACTAAACAAAATAGACTGCAATGATAAACGTTCACTCGTACATTTCAGTGATAAGAAATCAGCAAAACATAAACCTCAAAATTATCCTACTAAATAGACAAAGATGCACTTAACGAAGGCACTAAATAATGTGAAAGATGAATTCATCAGTGACACTGAACTGTTCTACGATCTCTTGAAAACATGGCCGAAGAAGTATCAGATATAGGAAATTGTTCATGGTGTTCACTCGAATAGTGACTGGTGGAGATTATGGAATCAATGAAGGAGCTTTTGGGTCGTAATGTACTGGAATATATTTAACTGTGTCGATTCAATTATTAAATTTCATCTCAAGTAAAAGAATGATCTCTTTAAAAAATTATTCATTCTCCAGAAAAGTTCAGCAGAACTCCCTGTCTCTCAAGTAATTTCATTCATTCCCACGACATCGATGCGGATTTAGATACTTACCATGTCAAAGAGCTTCCACTACTATGTACTTTCAACACATACTCAAAAGCTAACAATTATATCTACAGATAAATAAATGCCGTAGAAATTTGCAATGCTGCACGTCAAGTTGTGCTATTAAAGTGCTATTAAGTAGCAAAATGTCAGTGAAAACAATATCACTTTGTTTTTCGTCCATTACGAAATACAAAATCTTTCATAACAATGAATACTTTATCTTTGTTTTAAAATAGCTATTACCCTGAATGACGATTAGCAGTAAGACCTAATCGACATAAGCATCAATTTCTGTTGATGTAATTAATCAGTATTTATTTGTTTTCTTGCTGATATGTGAAATTTATCAAAAAGCTGGTAAGTATAATCTGTGTGAAGTGAAGTCACCTTCTTCTTCAGACATTTTTTGTACATTAAAATGATCTAAGCATTCTAGTGGCACTTATGACTAGATTCATAAAACGCAATAAAATTAACATATCACTTTGTTTATAATAGAGTTGATCATTTATTATATATAAACATATATATATATATATATATGCACAAGGAGTAAGAGTGGATAAGAAGACGGTTCATCAGGTCTGTCATAAGGCTTTTACTGCCTGTGTTTCAGGTGGAGGTAGCAGTGCCTAAACTTTAGAGGCAATAGATGGTAATTTCTATCCAGCTAAAAGGCGACATTTATATATACTCCCTAACAAATAAATATTTCATTCGTACAGACAAATTAAAGCCTAGCAGTAAGATATTTTTAAGTCGAATCTACCTGATATTTGCAGATAGGATAGTCAGTGTTCTTTTTGAAGAGGAGATTAACAGTATGTATACATAAGCATATATGTATATATATATGTTATCCAGTGTAGTTTAATAAATACTTGTTTGTATTATTTATGATTCTCATTTATCCCTTCATGTGAAAAACTTTTTTTACAAATCACTGGATAGATTAAATCCTTTTTGTACTGAATAAACTTACCTTTTTCTTTTCCTCATAGAATAATATTAGACTAAATGGATGAGAGATAATTCGCACTTTTCTTAACTATATATCTTATTCACTTAACTTATTATCAATCATATATTATTGTTGCGTTTATTTACTTGTGATATATGTAATACGTTAATACGATTATCGGAAAAAACAAAACATCATAAATATTAAGATAAGTCTGATAGGTTGAAGTTACGCCAGCGTAAATGGTTTAGACACATAGATTCATGGCTCTTTTGGACTTGTGAACAAGTAATGCCATGATCATCATTATGGACAGCATAAAATCTTGTATAATTAGGATCTCTAGGTTTGAAAGATATTTCCTTCATGCCACTGAAATATATATTTACTTCTTCAGATCTAAAAATAAAGTAGTTTAACTTTGGAGTCGCACTAAATTTCATTTCACTTTATATCTAGTTTGTCCTTATGAACTT